GAGGAGGAGGAGGAGGAGGAGGAGGAGGAGGAGGAGAAGGAGGAGAAGGAGGAGGAGGAGGAAAGAATGGAGGCGCCGCGGAGCCCTGATTATGCACGGGCTGGAGCTGCCTCCTCTAACCTGTTCTTCTCCGAGCCGGGCAGCCGGCCGTCCTCAGCCGCCTACAGAACAGGAGCCGAAACAACCGTTCTCGAAGGCTACAGCGTTTATTTTTCTCTTTTGGGGGGTTTTGGCGGTTGTTTCAGGGGCTCGCCAACTGGCCCCTTTAATTAAAAGCTTCAATAAAAGGCGATCGCGCCAGGAATGCACCCGCTCCTCTCCGCGCAGGATTTGCATATTTTTTTAATGCCCTAATTTCCTTGATGTATGTAAATGTAGCCGGACGTAGAGGGAGACAGGGAGCTGACGTCAATGGACGTGACCTCGCAGCTAAACCTTGAACGTGAAGCCGGGATGGGGGAAAACACGGAGCGGCAGCCTGCGGAGCTCGAGAGCGCGGGCGGCGGCGGCAGTAGCCGAGCCCAGGCCGGAGGTGCCAAGGGGGCCAGTGCCGTCCCCGAGGGAGGACAAGCCGCCGCCTTCTTTCTGCAACACGCGGCTCAGACTCTCCAGCCTCCCGGCCGCACTTGCAGACTCTTGCCCTGGGCTTCCAGCCACACCAAACACACGTTATTTTGCTTCCCTCAGAAAAGCAACACTCCCCAAAACAACAAACCAAAACCAACAGACAAAAACAAATGTTTTAGACCAATGCTCGGGTAGCTTATCAGAAAGAAGACTCTGACCATGGAACATATATATTTTTGGCTTCTCTCCACAAGAAGAGGAGGGGGAGACCACAGACAACAGCAAATCACTCCTAAAACACGATAACTACAAGTGTTCCCTGTAGGGAGAGGTAAATCGCCCAGCTGACTGGTGAAGGCTTTTCGTTTCGGTACTTATTTACCTGTGCACTCATTATGCGCGTCCGCTTCATTAATAGCAGGGTCATGAGCACGCTTTCTAATGTGATGGGAGTGCTGTGGGGTGTGTGTGTGTGTGTGTGTGTGTGTGTGTGTGTTGGGAGGTGCTTGCGCTAGTGAGCACCGAGGCAGGTGCTCCGAGCGAAGAGAGAGATCAGTCTTTCCGTGGCTACCTCTGGGACTATCTGCAGAGCCATGCAGGCCAGAGGTCCTAGGTTGGGGTTCGAGTTCACCTCTTTAAAAGAGAGGCCAGCAAAGGTTTCCCCTGGACAGCCAGATTCTTCCCATTGCATTGTTTGGGGAAGGGGGCTTGAGGTGTGAGTCATTCCGTAGCCGATGCCTTGCCGGATATGGCCTGGTGTTTTGCACTTGGAACTCAGCGGCCTCGGCGCAGAGGTAGTGCCTCCCCGAGACGCAGCCGAGGCCTTCTTGTTCCCCTCCTTCCGCCCGCGGCAGCCCTGCGCGCCGGCGTGTGCGTGCCCGCGCACCGGGCTGCTGGCACCTCCCTGTGCACATCCGCCCCCTCCTCTGCTCGCCACCTTCTCCCGGGCAGCTAAGAAATGGTCCTCGGCCTCTTCTGGGCCGGAGGGCAGGGCTGCGAGCAGGCAAGAAAGGGGCGCTGGTGGCCGCGAAGGGGACTTCTCCGCTCTGCCCTCGGCCGCTGCGGCTGCCGTTTCAGCGTTCCACCTCGCAGCCCCAGCTTTGTTTTCCTGATATGCTCTTGGCCATTGGGCCCCACGCCTGCGAGCGGAGTGTGTGCGTGTGCGTGTGCGCGGGGGGCGGGAGCGCGCGACGGGTGGGGGCTCTCCCGCCAAGGACACGCATGGCTGTCTGTCCTCCGGCTGCACTTGGCGGGAAAGCTAGGGGCCGCCGGCGGGGCTGCGCGCCAGCGGCTCTCATTACCGCCTCCGTGCTCCCCCCGGGCTGCATTTACATACGGGCCACTCTTCTGAATTTTTACGGCACTCTTCCCCCTCCCGTACCCGGTCGCACGCGCGCAGGCTCGGAACTACAGCCCGGGCGCTCAGACACCCGCGCCCAGGCTGCGGCCAGTCCTGGGCGCGCGAACAGGCCCAGAGGGGTAGACGGCACTCGGCTCCCCCGCACCCCTGCGCCCACACCCCTAACAGCCTCCCCGCTTGTGTGGCAGGAAGCCCACCTTCCCCTCGAAGCCCCCACCCTGCACACTTCCACCCCCACCCTCCAACATCTCTCCGTCTCTCCCTGGAAGACAGACACACGCGCGCGCGCTGGCGCGCGCACGCATACACACACACACACACACACACACACACAGAGACACGCTTTTTCTTCCTCCTCAAATAGATAACCCCTATGGCACGTCCCTGGTACCTTCAGAATAGCTCTGGAGTTTAGAGAATAAAAATCTTTAGAATGCATTGCTTGTCTTTAGACAAACACATTTAACAACCACAACACAAACAGGGGGAGGGGTGAGGAAGGGGGGACTTGAACCAAAAGACCTTTCTTTTTTTTAAAAAAAAAGTCTGCGAGTCAAAAGGTCATTCTCCAAGTTTGTAAATAAAATTGCAAAGGGAGTCCTTAAGAAAGGAGAGGAAAGAAGGGAAAGAAGGTTAGGAAGACTCACAAGTTACATAAAACGGTGCATTGGAAAAACGACAGGGCGACTCTTTAAGAAAAAAAAATCTTAGGAAATCAAGAGAGGGAAAAAAACTGGAAGAAAAAAGAAAGAAGAAAAGGTTTTTTTTTTAAAAAAAAAGCAAAAGAAGTTTCCAAAGAAATGTGTGCTTTGCATCCTACAATAAGAAAATGTAGCCATTGCCTTCCTTCAGACGAGACATTTCTAATTTGTTCCGTCTGTCAGGAGGGGACTGTGAGAGGTTTGGGTGCAAATTCATTATCTCTGGCAACGCAGAACGTAGTGTGGGGACTGAAAAAGACCGTGGCAATGGATGAACAATAGGGCTTCAGTTCATCAGTAACAAAAGCAGTGGGGAAATTGGTTGAGTTTCAGAGCACGTCCTCCTCGGCAGAGGGGGTTGGACTAGACCTTGGACAGCCCCCCCAAAAACTTGCCAAGCCTCGCACACACCACTTCACTCTCCACTCCGAGGCTCAGGGAGCAAGTGCCTGGCGTGGGGGGGAAAAGTTGGGTTTTTTTTTCCTCCTTGGTCTTTTGCGCCCTTCTCTCTCTCCCCAGAAGGGAAGAACCATTTAAACTATTTTAGACGCAATCAACCAAGAATCACCATGTGGAATTGAGCGGCAGTTTTAAATGTACTGAGGAGAGGAATGATGAGAAAAAACATTTTTTTTTTTTTTGGAGACGCCGAAAGGAGCCTGATTGTGTGCTGCGGCCGTGGAGTGACTCTGGATCTTGTCTTCCGGCCGGCGCCTCGGTTCCTGCCCAGCTGGATTTGGGGGGCAGCACTGCCTGGCGCGGGGAGATCAAGTGAGTATCGTGGCGGCCCTCAGGCTGCAGCTTGCCGACGGCGCGGGGCCAGCAGTGCCCGCCGCGGCCTCGCGCCGGCACTCCTCACCTCGCCCGCTAGCCGGTGTCCGCAGAGCCCCGCTGCGGGCCGCTCCGAGGGCCAGTCCGGGGCTTTGCTTCAGCTAATTGATTGTGTGCCTCGGATGCTAAACCTGTTGATCTCGTGAGTTTTCTGAGCCAGTACTGTTAATTATCCAGCGGCTTGACCCCCCAACCGCAGAGAAATGCCAGGAAATCTTCGCATTGGATAAGAGAATTTCGTATGTAATTTTTGATGGTGGTGGTGGTGGTGGTGGGGTCCCTTTTAAACCTACAGCAAAATGCAGTTGTATTTTGCACTTCTGGATTCAGAATTCGCATTTTGAATAATTCACCTCCCTTTAACCCCCCCAAAGTTGCAGTTACCTGGCAATGAAACGAGGGTCTGATTAGATCCTGGTGGAAAACTTAGTACAGTAGCTAACTGGATCTCTTGGATTTCCACTTCCCTTTTCTCTCTGCCTTTTGGATTTGGGGATGTGAGAGGCCGCTTTACAGGGTTATCCCAAGTTCAGATTCATCAAGATGCAACCATCGTGATTAGTTATTGGTACTTGGAGCGGGTCAGGTTAAGACATTTCTGGTATCCAAACGGAGCTGGGTCTTTGCGGTTTGCTTAGGGTCTAGACCCGGCTGAGGAAGGCAAGAACTCCTTTCTGTGGCCTGGAATTATCTGCAGGAACTCTGGGTGATGGGAACTCCGGCAATGTATTTGCATTAGTGTCTTCGGCGTTTTATCTTGCAAATGTACCCGTGGTGCTTGAAAGGGGGACTGTCTTCAGGGGTCAGGACAGCAGTGGAATTGATCAGAAGTTAGACTGGAGGCTCTGTGAAGTCATGGCCATGGCCGGGGGCGGGGGGCGCCTTTGGAGCTGTGGCTGCCTTGGGCCAAGAACCGCAGAGTCGGATTCCGTTTCCTCCCTTTCTTGGTGTCCACCTCTGCCCACCACTCTCCTTTCTCTACCTTGGCACCGGTAATTAGGGCGCTGTCTCAGCAAGCGAGTTCCCACAGTCAGCATAATTAAACCAGGGCAATACTTTCATTTTGCAAAACCAATAGCCCCACCCCTCTAGTCCAAAATAACAATAAGCATTAAAAAATTATAAAAGAAAAGCAACCTATTTGGGGGAATATTGACTTCCTGAACCTTGGATCGAGAGGGAATGGGGGAAGGGAATTTTTAAAAAATCCACCACTTTACAGCAATCATGTTTTACATTATTCATTGATTTACTGGAGGAAAGAGCCAATCAGGAGCCATAGATATGAATGCACATCTCACCGTGCTGTGGCCTTACAGTAAACTATTTGCATCTTTCTAATGGAGTAGGTATTTATCCAGGGATTCCCATTGTTCGAAAGGCCTGGAAATTCAGTTCCTTAAACATTTAGAAAATGACTTTGTTCGAGACTTAAAATCCTTACATGGAAAGACTCTCCTCTTTTGTATGGCAGGTTACAAGGTTCAAGTCCCTAATGTTTTTAAGAGTCCCTTTTCCTTCCAAGCTAAAAATAAAAGAAGAAAAATTAATTTCCCAAACCCCTCCATATTCTGCATATTTTGCATTCACATTATCATGCATGTCTCCATTTAAATGCAAATTAGCATATTTAACCCTGTGGGTGCTGAGACCCTGGATACATTGCACTAGGGTTTTATGGAATCTCTTGGCATTTTAAGGAATCATGGTAATAGCAATATTTTAAATGAAACCATATCTATATGACTTTATATATATACATATATATATGTAAACTGAGATCATTTGTTTTCTTGACTATTTTTCAGATGAGACTGCAAAGAATCATAAAATGAACAGACAATCCAACCGACTAAAGGTAATTTTAAAATTTACATTTGACAAAATCAAAGTGATGTAGAAGATAGAGTATTTTACTCTATTTACTGGGCAGTAGGCCTGCAGTGGGTTGCATATCTCCTAATTCATGCTCTAAGTTTCTGTATGTGCAGCTTTCTCCCCTATTGGGAGCCTTTGTATATTATGTATCAAGCACAATACAAATATGACCTGTAACGCCCTGTTAAAAGAAATTTGAGATACAGAATAAATCATAGAATACTTTGTTAGAAAGTAAGCCTGTCAAGTACCTTGCCTGAACTATACAGGTCACTGTAAATTAAATGGCTTTTATGTAGAAAATGGTAGTCTTCACTATACCAGTGGACTGTTGTTTACATGCATTGGAATCATACAAACCAAATATTAAAAGGGGATTTCAGTGATAGACCAATTCTTTATGCACTTTGCAGTAGTCTGAATAGGATTCAGAGGTGTTCTAAAAATTGGTGACAAACCTAAAGTGTTTGAATTTACGAAATAGCATAATTCTAATCAAAATAATGTGGAAAACATAACTTTTCACTTTTAAGTTAAACAGAGATTGTTTATTCCCAAGTAAACCAGAATGTTTCAATTCATGTTGCAGCCATCTGGAGACCTATAAAAAGATTAGAAAACAAGCATGACAATCACGTCCTAATCTACTGGCCATTAATGGGAATTTATTAGTGAATGAGCAGGCAAACCATTTAAATTCAATATATCCTTCAGTATGCAGATTTCAAAACTGATATTCTGCTCATCTTAATAGCATTTTGAAAGCAAAAATATCTGATATAACATGTAGGTGTGTTAATAGTTGCTCTTAATGTGCGACAGACATTGCTAGGAATCTTTAGAGCTACACAGTTGTTTCAACTTGTCTCACATCCTGCACAATAATACAGTCTTTGAAATATGTATGATAAACCATCACATATACCTTGGCAATATTCAAAATAATCAGATGCTATGTGTTAAGCCTTACTATGTAGTTTTTATTTCCGAATATCCTGAGACATGGTGGATATTAAAATGTTTAATTGGCTATCTGGCTAATGAACAGACTGCCCATAATCCTAATGTTGGTTCTTTTCACTTATTGGGGCTCCCATGATGAGTCTATGCTATATATACCAGGCACAGGGACCAGGCCTGGAGTCAGCTGATATGTGGCATTGCCCTAGAAGATGTTATTTTAAGACAGTATCTTCTATAGCTTCTAATTGTAGAAGCATCTCAAATGTTCAGTGTCTTGGCTTTCATGATGGGTACTTTGGTTCTAAAAATGCATTTAGTTGCTTACTGTGGAAATATAGCCATGATACTTGGCAAATTCACACAGATATGGGAGTGATAAACATACATAGACAAATGCATGACATCTCTTTGCTTCCACCAACCCCCACTTAGGTATATATAAAGCAAAAAGATATTCTAAAAATAGCTGTGATTTCTTGGGTTTCAACTTAAGGAACTCATCTGACCAGATGCTTGCTTTATGTGTTACATGACAAATCACTAATGATTCTGCTGTTGTGTCTTGGAAAGCAAGGCCACAATACTCTTACTCTTCCAAGGCAGCAAAGCTCATTTGCGTTTTACATAATGTCTACAGTGGAATGTGCCTCAGTGATATGTTACATTTTTATTTAGTAATTTATGTTGTGGCCAGACAGTTCAAGAAGGAATAGTAACTCCATGGGGGTGTATTTATCTGAATTAGTTTTTGGTTTGCTTGTGCATTTTATATATAACCCAATGCAGCCATTTTTGATTGTACCTCTTGTACCATAATTTGATAAGAAAAATAGATGAACAATTTCAACAGCTTAGTCTTTTCTAATTAATCAGTACTGGAATGTTCACCAAAAAAGTAAATAAATAAAAAATCTAGGGAAAAGTTGGCATCTATGTTACTAAATCATATCTTTAATTGGTGTGATATTGTAGTTTAAACTCTTGATTGTAGGCTTTTCCTAACTATTCTGATTTTCTTGTCAGTCTTTTCTATAGGGTTTACATATATGTGCTCTGTATGTAATTCAGTAAGCATGTTCACATTCGTGTCTTACCACTAAATTAAGGAAAGAGTGTATGTTAATTCCAAAAGTGTTTTAGTTGTTGGGGAAAATAGTCAATCTATAGAAATGAGAGTATTGTGATAAACTAGTCATGTGTGCAATGAATATTAAGAGGTATTAAATTCTCTAATAGCATATATTTTAAAGAATGGCAACATGACCAAACATAAGTCGAAATTTTAAAAAGCAGTTTATAAGGTTCACCCTTGGTAAATATGAATCTTATGTAGATTACCTTAGATGTCCTGTTGAGGGACATTTTAATATTACAACTACACGTATTACAGATGTGTTAGACATAGATTACTCAAGAAGAAAAGGACTCTTTGAAGTAATCATATTCACACTTTGAAAAGTTCTAAGAAAAGGAATGAGGCTAATTAATTAATAAAACAACATTCCCTCTAGATAAAAGAAAGGCGGGGGTGGGGAAGGGGAAGGTTGTGCTCTTAACATCTAGGTGTTTTATATGTATTCTTCATGAGGTAACAATGCTTTTTTCATAGTTTCAGAAGCAAGACTAATATATTTTCCTTTTGTATGAAAATTGATGTTTAAAACAATAGACAAAGGCTCAGCATTTTTATTACAGCAGAGTTGTGTACAGCATTAGAAACTATTGCTGCAATGTTTACCTGTGCTGCATTCTAACGCACACAACCTACATATGCAGTCATTTTTTAAAAACCAGGATGAAGTCTGCTTGCTTAGAGCGTTCAGTCTGAACTTACAGAACAAAATACGCTGCCCTATCGCCATGGTACGTATATACAAAACATGACTGAGCTGTGAAGCCATTAAAAATATACCACCTGAGCAAATGGTCAATGTAATCACACATCAACTCACTGCGTAATACAGATCTGATTCCCAGCCCCAGAAAGCGAGGCCCTGCTTTAAGCAATAGCAAAGTGCCTTCCATCTGTCTGCCTATGCAATCTGCCAGAAGAGAAATGCAGGCAAAGACGTTCCCCAGATCTGAAATGCTTTTATCTGTCCTTAGAGAGAGATTTCTTCCAGTCTTTGGATATTAGAACGATCTACACTAGCACGGAGGAGGTAAAAGGCCTCAGGTTGCTTTTCCAGGAGCAGTCGGTAGTGCTAGCGGAAGAGATGTTGATTGAGAAAATAGGGCTTGTTGCAATGTCGCCGCTACTGCTGCTGTCGCTGTCGCTGCCGCTGCTCAGGCAGCAGGCGTGGGGCAGTTGGCTGATCACTGATGCATATCAATAACCATGTACTTGAGATTTCTCATGACATCATCATTACCTTGGTCTCCTGCGGTCTCGAACCTTTGACCTTGCCGGGCTGGTCCACAATTTGGCAGTGAAAGCCCCTCCAATGATGGCCCTTTTCTCCTTCTTTCAGACCGGGGGCAGCAGCAGGCCAGCAAGACGGCATCTTCTCCTTCTGAGCCTAGAAGCCCTGTGAAATCGCGGATCTTCCCCCTAAAACACACACACACAAGATATGTGCAATCAAGCTGCCACCACTTGGTAAAAAGCTCATGGTGCCTAACCAAAAAGGATCAGGAGCAGATCCTTGAATCAGCTGTCACTTCTATAGAATGGGATGGTTTTTTTTTCTTCCTCTTTAACCTGCGCTGGAAATTGCCGTTGGCTTTGTACATCTCTATAGAGAGAGGCTAAAGAGTCTTGCGTGAGAAAGAAGCGATTTACAATGCAAATAGAGGCCTGTGAAGGGACGGATGCTGCTGCTCACTCGTAACAGCTTGCTGCACCTTAATAGCTGGTTTTATTTTCTGATATTAATAGATGAATTGTTGGCTAACGCTGCCGGAGATTACTTGCTGAAAGAAAAAAAAAGTTCGGAATAAACTCTGAAGGCAACAGATCTTATTTGGATGTTTCAGCAGCGCGCACACACAAACAGAAACCAGGTCATATTTACATAAAAGAGGAATCTTAAGCGCGGCAAGTATCCTGGACGACTACTCTTCAGTACTGCCAGAAAGGATCGGGACCTGGAGTCTGGCAAGAGAAAGACAGAGGCCTGTGTGGGAAGCGAGTTGTTATCTTTGGTTATCTAGCTGTATGAGTGTATTGGTCTTCATAAAGCTAGATAACCGAAAGTAAAAACTCCTTCAAGATCGTCGGGGAGCGTGTGAGAATGAAAGACTACAACCGAGAGACAGTAAAAACCAGAAAGGTCAGGAATACTTATTGAATCTAACTTTGTTTTTGTTTTTTTTGTGTGTGTTTGTTTGTTTGTTTTTTTCTTATGATTAAAGGTGGGATGAAAGGAAATTAAGTGACACACATATGCGAAAATATGAAGGTGCCAGATATATCTTGAGAGGGGTTGTGGCAGCGGCAAAGGAGAATTGTAAAGTGCTAATAAGTAAAGATGCATGTGCAATTTGTTCTATTTTAAGGCAAAAGTTTATATATGAGAGATTTTTTTTTTCTTAGAAAGCTGTTGCAGAGATGCCTGGTACCTGGTTTTAAAATGATTCCATAATATGTAGAACTTGGGCAGTTCCCTTCTGAGGCTCCTCCCCCTCAAAATTTGAAGATTGTGCTTGGAAATTACCTTACACGTATTTGGGCTGTATGTCAATTTATACGAAATTAGACTTTCAGAGAAGTTTATACTGGAAGGTTAATAATTTATATCTACTGAGGGTTTAGAGCTAGCAGGCAAAATGAAAAAAAAAAATAAGCAAGAGCTGATTTTTATTCTTCTATTCAAAATACAAGCACAGATGCTTCTCTGTTCCAAGAGGGTTTCCTTGAGGAAGCTACTGAAGCAGAAAGACATGATGGAGACGAGATCGCCTCCCCTCTTGTCAAAGTGTTAAAAAAATATTCTGTCTTACTCTGCGCCTAGCATTGGAAATGAAAGTGACATTTACGCCACAACCCACGTGTGCGCCTCCTCTCTTTTTGTTTAAGGATGATCAGGTCTATCCAGGAAACAGCTCTGGCATCCCAAACTGAAATAATTAGGACGTATATAGACCTGACAAAAATGGAAAGGGGGTGGGGAATCTGAGGGTCTGTCTTGCCTAATTGATTCCGCTAAACGGAATGCAGGAGATGTGAACGGCAGGACGCTCCGATTCCCACGCTCAGGGGCAAGTGATAAAGCGGGGCCGGGCAGCCTATGACAGACAGCCCTGTTGGGGGGTGGGGGTATGAAAAAAACATCAAGTGCACACACCATACTCATCTCCATCGCTTGAGAAAGTAAAGGCATTTCCCACCCACAGCCATCTGCAGCTTCCCAAATGGCAACACCAACTGGTCTGTAGCTGCTGCATACTGTCTGTTTCTGTTAATTTTTTAACCACTGTGTAATCTGGCCATAATTAAGTTTAGCTTTCTTTGTTGTTTGAGATTTTCAGGATTCAAGGAAAGCTAGTAGAAAGCAATTCCAAGAAAGTCCCATCATTGCCTGCCCCTCGTGTCAAAATCTCAGTCCATGAGATTATGGCCTTGGTACCACATTTTGGCTTTTGTTTTGGGTGGGCTGTATTTTAAAATACATACTCTATGTAACAGTCGTTATTATAATTTCATGAGGCTTTTTGCCTCTTAACATGATACATCTAGAAACTTGATCTAATTGTGCTAGTAGATACATACTAGAAGAAAAACTATAAAGTCATTAACCTGGAGGAAGTTGATTATGATAACAATATGATAAAAAGTTTGTTTTAGAATAGACTCAGCTAGATGGGTCTAAATAGCCATTTTAATTTTATCTAAAAATAACACTATGCCTAGCAGAAACTTTGGCTCTTTGGAGGTCCCCATTGTCACCTTTTTGTAAAAGTCCTTAAGTTTTCCATATTCACCTAGCAAACATTTGTATAGGCATTTACACAGAAATATAACCATTGCAAGTAGAAAATATCCAAAATATCTTGTTATCTTCCATGTGGCCTAGATTACTGACAATCCCAAATATACAGTTTTTTCTTTAAAAGTAGTACAATTTCCTTTGTAGCTTCAATTCCTTATATCATTCAGACTGGAGCAGGCTGTTAAACCATTGTTACTTTCAGTTAGAAAGTCTTTGAGACTTTATATACGTAAATTCTCAATTTGGCTGCTGTACACGTGCCAAAGTTTCACTACTGTAGTGACCGTTGAGAAGACCCTTGTTTATTTACATTTGAAGCACAGTTTGTGCAAACAACCTTTCATTGTTAAGTGCCTGTATTCCTTTCGTTTACTTCATGTCCAGGGGTGCTATTTACCTAGAACCATTGTCTACTACAATTAACATTTACATTACAAAGTGTGTGGTTTTCTTTCTCAAGGAGGTTCAATTAAGGCAATAAGATGTTTGCTGGGGAAACCTATTGTTTACTGAAAGCACTCAATGGAGTCAAATTACTGAAGCTTTTGCCTACATCTTGGTCTTTTATGTAAATATGTTAAAATAACATCTAAGGAAAATAAACAATATTATAATTCTGTGTTTGCCATTGTCATATCAAACTTGCTTTGTATCATACTAATGTTACATAACTTATCGATCAATAAAAATACATTTCAATGTTATTATTTTCATTTTATTTTTTGCTGTTCCACTGCTCTTGGTGCAACATGTCCCAATTTTTCTTTTTTCTATTACACATCAAACTTCTGACATTTTGTTTTATTTGTGTGTGTTGAAGAGAGGTACTGTATCTAAGCATGGCTTTGAAGGGTGTTGCAAATAATCTCTACATTGACCTTTTAATAAGGTGATATTTCTTTGAAATCTGAAATATTCCAAAGGCATGTACATTTAAGTCAAAAGAAGTGTAAATATCAGTTAAGTAGTTCTTTGAAAGCTAGTTTTAACATTGGCAGAAACCAGATCAAGTTTATTTAGCATACCACTGCATTGTAAAACAGTTGGAGTGAAGTTGCAGGTTGCGTGAGTATGCATGTTAACTAGTGGGAACCAAGCGCAGTCTTTGTGAAAGGGGAGCAGCAGATTGCTGTGCAAGGCCAATGTTAAAAAGGCAGCTGAATTTAACACCATCTGGAAGAAAAGATCCCTTCACGACTTTCTCACACCGTCAGACAAAACTAGTGTCTCTTGTTCCGAGCCCTTGTCTATGCAACCATACAATACTGAGTCATTATACTTTTGCTGAGAGAAAATTTGAGAACACAATATGGGTAACCAGTGAATGACCAAGTTTCATTGTGCCCGCTTAAGTCGATTGAAATCTACGTCTAGAGCTATGAATGGTAGTATTGTTTTCCTCACCAGGGCTGTACTAAATGTCAGCACAGTGTAAAGAAAAACTGTAAAGGAAAGTCTGCAAATAACTTACCAGATCTCAATTATAATATTTTCCCACACTAGAACTAATATCATTGCGAGGGGCTACATTGCAGAAAATACAAAAAGAAACGAAAAGAAATAGAGAGTTCATTTAGAAGTTATTTTATCTAGACAAACATTTTAATTTTCTGATGAGAACTTCAATTCAAGCTGCAGGCTGGGATAAGAGGTAGAATTCATTACTGGGAAGTTCAAATTTCAAAAATCCTGCTTATGCAATTAAAATACAATAAAACAAACACCTAGTCCTACCTGAAGCTCTCTATTCTTAAATATAAATGGACGCTACTTGGGTTTTATTACTTTAGTTCTGCATAGAATTGTTAATGTTAATCTAGCTTAAATTTTGTTTTAAATTACGGCACACTGATCTTTCAGTTTGCCACTGTGATTGACATTGCAAAAGAACACCATTTCCAAAAATATTTAAGAACATTCTGGCACCTCCCTAGGTGGATCTGGTGTCCTCAGGAATACACTTCCCTTTTATGTTACGCCCCTCCCCCTGCTTTCTAACTTTTTCCTCCATGATAATGTGTGTAAAGCAGTTATCCTTCGATTTAACAGTCACGAAATCTATTTGACTGTAAACAGTCAGAAAATGGAAACAAAACAGTCAAAAAAAGTAAATGGAGTTGGTTGTGTATGTTTTACTAGAATGTCTATTTTAAATGTAATTGACTTTGCAATTTTGTTATTGTGTCACCAAGTGTCTCATAGTTCTTAACATGTAAGTGCAAAACAATGAGTAATTGCTGTTTTGCTGAATAATACATCTGAGTTGCCAACGTCAAAGGTATTATTTTGCGTATTTCTAAACAGGAACGTTAACTGCAGGTTTTGACATCTAGAATCTTTCCATGAAATAACTTAGAAATAGGGCAATAAAATGATACCTATAAAAGTAAATATAAAGATAGAACCCATTTATTTTCTTTACCCTACTTTATTTACCAGAAAATTAACAATGAAAAGTCACTCACTAATCGAATAATAAAGGATATAGGATAAACACAGTCACACACAAAAAATACAAAAGAACAACAAAAATGGAAATTGGATGAAGGTTAAAAAAAAGATACAGGAAGACTTCTTCAGGGTCCTTGCTGAATGTGAATGGGTATATTCACTAGTATCAGTCCCTTAATGAAGTTACCATTATGTATAATAATGAGATAAATGCATTATTTACATTCAAAATGAAATATTTTCCAAAGTGACTTTTCTTTAGTCACCTTAAACAGTAAATTTTCCTCTACGAGAGCTCTTTGTGTTTATTTTTAAAATTAAAATAACTTTTTTATTTAGAAAAATATAAAATTTTAGTTTAATTTTGTGTAGCCTGTTGAAAATTAAGAAACCACTTAAATTATAAGAGATATAGATGAACATATACAAATATTTTAAGATATTTTAGCATTTTAGGAATTTTGCCTTTTTAAAATGGAGAGATGAAGCCAAAGGTTTTATTTTCCAATGTTGCTAGAAAATGAATGAGAGTGTGTAACTATGTGTCCAGCTTTTTCCTATTAATCTATACATCTGGAAATGTCGCTGTGGTTTCAGAATATTGATACCCTCTCCTCCCTAATTTGCTACAGTAAGTAAAATACACCATAATATGTTGCATTTAGATGGGTGCTGGAGGTGGCAGTGGTGAAATGGGTGACACAGGACACGGTGTCCTTTAGGACTAAGAACTAATTAGAATCAGCTATTGAGTAAAAAGATAACCTATAATGCTGGGTCGATTGTTTTAACAGGAGTACTTCGAGATAGTTAAACAGGTCCTACAGCAATGGGGCATGTAAGGCAGTTCTTCAGTGTCACTGGATTTTAATGGATGGCTTTGTTACCCTGTTTTTCTGCTCATCGCTTTCTTAGCACAAGTTAAACAACCTAGTACAGAAATCAGCATAACCCTCCATTCCCATTTGCTCAGAGAGCCCATTTCACCCTTTCTGGGAACTGTTCGACTTCTTTGTGGCATTAATTCTAAGGTGGTGAATAGAAATGGAAAGTATATAGCTGTGATTGATGTTAAGGAATATCTATGTGCCCTCAATCAGGGCCGCGAGTTAGTGCACTTCCTTAGAAAGGTGATGACCATGTTTGAGGTGGGAGCATGTGGCTTTCTGCTTTTCAGCCAACTGCCAGACCACAGGGGGTAGGGCTTTTAAAAAGTGCAGATAATCGACTTTTTTCGGGGAAATATGGAGTTTGGAGCCATATTTGTTCAAAGAGCAGCACATCACTGTGCTTGGTGGTTTGACTCGGTTTTAGCAGAGCGCGGGCACAGCGCATTCAGGAGATCTAAAAATAGCCAGGCTTAGCAGCCGCCTTGCAAGGTACTTGGCGTGGGCGGTGCACAGAGGAGACAGCCGACTCTGTGACTGGCTGCAAAAGCGGTTAGGCTAGGCAGTGGCAGCGGCGAAGGCGGCTGGCCCGCCGCGGGGCAGGACGACGCCTCCCGGTGACCGCCAACTGCCCGAGTCCTCCCGCAGCTGCTGCGGCTAGCGGCCCTCGCCAGAAAGCAGACGTCTGATTGGTGTTTCCCGGGAGACGGGCTGCCCTGGCTGCCAGATCTGGTGCGCCGGCGCGCGCGCTCCCGCGTAGGAGCGCGGCTGGAAGGCCGGGGGCGCGCTGCGGCCCGGGTAGCGGGCTGGGAGGCTGCCCAAGTTCGCGCTACCTCAAGTTCCCGCGCCCGCGCTCTTCCGCTTGAAGGCTGCGGGACCTCGGCGCTGCGCCGCGGGGCTCGGCAGGGGCGGGTAGTGAGCCTGTCCTTTGCCTGGCAAGCTGAGCTGCGTCCGCGATGGCTATTCTGTGGGTTTTTGGTTTTTTTGTTTTGTTTTGTTTTGTTTCTTTTGCCCTCCTCTCGGCCCCTAACCAGCCACCTTGGTCACTGCCTCTGCGCCAGCTCCGGTCTGCGGTTGCCTGGGAATCCCTGAGTTGGGCTTGTGAATAGGGGTGGCGTCGAGGTTTAGTCACGCCTGGACATCGTTAGGGTTAGGCATCTCCCAGCGGCCACCCCCTGCCACAGGGCCCCTTCCTCAGGCGGCACGCAAGTTGTGGTTAAGAGGCTTTCTTTTGCTGACACTCGGTTTCTCTAGTTTTGCCCAGGCTTCTTCCCTGGACGTGATCAATATCATTGATAAAGATACTGTGTAGCCCCCAACTCCCCTCCCCCTACCCCACACACGATTTTTAACTTAGTGAAAAGCTGCTAACGGAAAGGGTCTCCCTGCGGGGAAACTCGGGGGTGGGGCGGGGGCGGGGAAGTTTTGCTCGGTGGCCGGCGTGGGTGAGCGCTTGCCGCTCTTGGCCCTTCCCTGAGGCAACTCCCACTTCCACCCCCATTGCCCATCAGGAGCTCAGGGCGCATCTCACCCCATCATCAGATTTGCTGGAAATATTAATCTCCTTGTTGGGTGGATACAGTAGAACTTATTCAGAGATTACTTTAAAAAGAGATCTGGGTCTTAAGCACTTACTAAAGCCAGTTAATAACATCATGCATGGACATTTAAACTTGTTGTAAGTTGCAGAGAGGATTAGCGGGAAGTCACGCTGTGCGCAGCTAATGATACCATCTTAACTCTAACTGGGCTAAATCCACCTCGCCCGGCGCAGGTCCGGCTCTGCGGCCCTCGGGTGAGGCTAAGAAAGAGGGTCTTGGAAAGAGGTCTTGGAAAGAGAGCTGAAACTGAAGGAGCCGCCCCGATCCCTCCTGCGCGTGACGGTCACTGGTCCTGGGAAGCCCTGCTGTTGCGTGGGCACGAGCTCTGGGACTGGGGTCCAGGCCTCCAGGTGCACACGGACGCACCGCCGTCCGCGGGCTGAGCTTCAGTGACACTGAAGGGCACTGGACAACATGTCAAAACAGTTTTGATTCCATGATTCAAAGGGCGGGCAAGGTCTCTTGTAAGCTCAGGTGAAATAGTGGGACTCCAAAGGTAGTGGCTTTCTTGCTGCTGGTCGATTTGCATTACAGAGGTCGTTTAGTTTCAGTTCCACTTTTACAAAAGTAGTCAAGCTCTGTATTTCACAGTTAAATTTAGAAGCATATTATTAACAACTTCCTATCACAGTCTTCCTCAACTACTTTCGGTCTGATTACTGTTTCAAAGCAGTTTGCTACTACTTTATGACAGGACCAATTAGAAATAATCTTGAGAAAATGCTTCGAAAATGCTGCGTTATTAAAACACTTACCCAACAATAT